ACACTGTTTCTCACAATGATGGTATGCATGTACAGCCTTACAGTATGATAATCACAAGTTGTTTGCCAACGAACCAAGGCAATCAATCTTTCCAGAAACTATACTATTACAGTCTCCTAGACTAGTTCAGTCTCCTAGACTAGTACAGTCTCCTAGACTAGTACAGTCTCCTAGACTAGTACAGTCTCCTAGACTAGTACAGTCTCCTAGACTAGTACAGTCTCCTAGACTAGTACAGTCTCCTAGACTAGTACAGTCTCCTAGACTAGTACAGTCTCCTAGACTAGTACAGTCTCCTAGACTAGTACAGTCTTCTAGACTAGTACAGTCTCCTAGACTAGTACAGTCTCCTAGACTAGTACAGTCTCCTAGACTAGTACAGTCTCCTAGACTAGTACAGTCTCCTAGACTAGTACAGTCTTCTAGACTAGTACAGTCTCCTAGACTAGTACAGTCTCCTAGACTAGTACAGTCTCCTAGACTAGTACAGTCTCCTAGACTAGTACAGTCTTCTAGAGTACTAGTACAGTCTCCTAGACTAGTACAGTCTCCTAGACTAGTTCAGTCTCCTAGACTAGTACAGTCTCCTAGACTAGTACAGTCTCCTAGACTAGTACAGTCTCCTAGACTAGTTCAGTCTCCTAGACTAGTACAGTCTCCTAGACTAGTAGAGTCTCCTAGACTAGTACAGTCTCCTAGACTAGTACAGTCTTCTAGACTAGTACAGTCTCCTAGACTAGTACAGTCTCCTAGACTAGTACAGTCTCCTAGACTAGTACAGTCTCCTAGACTAGTTCAGTCTCCTAGACTAGTACAGTCTCCTAGACTAGTAGAGTCTCCTAGACTAGTACAGTCTCCTAGACTAGTACAGTCTTCTAGACTAGTACAGTCTCCTAGACTAGTAGAGTCTCCTAGACTAGTACAGTCTCCTAGACTAGTACAGTCTCCTAGACTAGTACAGTCTTCTAGACTAGTACAGTCTCCTAGACTAGTACAGTCTTCTAGACTAGTACAGTCTCCTAGACTGGTACAGTCTCCTAGACTAGTACAGTCTCCTAGACTAGTACAGTCTTCTAGACTAGTACAGTCTCCTAGACTAGTACAGTCTCCTAGACTAGTACAGTCTCCTAGACTAGTACAGTCTCCTAGACTAGTACAGTCTCCTAGACTAGTACAGTCTCCTAGACTAGTACAGTCTTCTAGACTAGTACAGTCTCCTAGACTAGTACAGTCTCCTAGACTAGTACAGTCTCCTAGACTAGTACAGTCTTCTAGACTAGTACAGTCTCCTAGACTAGTACAGTCTCCTAGACTAGTACAGTCTCCTAGACTAGTACAGTCTCCTAGACTAGTATAGTCTCCTAGACTAGTACAGTCTCCTAGACTAGTACAGTCTCCTAGACTAGTAGAGTCTCCTAGACTAGTACAGTCTCCTAGACTAGTTCAGTCTCCTAGACTAGTACAGTCTCCTAGACTAGAACAGTCGTCTAGACTAGTACAGTCTCCTAGACTAGTACAGTCTCCTAGACTAGTACAGTCTCCTAGACTAGTACAGTCTCCTAGACTAGTACAGTCTCCTAGACTAGTACAGTCTCCTAGACTAGTACAGTCTTCTAGACTAGTACAGTCTCCTAGACTAGTTCAGTCTCCTAGACTAGTACAGTCTCCTAGACTAGTACAGTCTCCTAGACTAGTACAGTCTCCTAGACTAGTACAGTCTCCTAGACTAGTACAGTCTTCTAGACTAGTACAGTCTCCTAGACTAGTACAGTCTCCTAGACTAGTACAGTCTCCTAGACTAGTACAGTCTTCTAGAGTACTAGTACAGTCTCCTAGACTAGTAAAGTCTCCTAGACTAGTACAGTCTCCTAGACTAGTACAGTCTCCTAGACTAGTACAGTCTCCTAGACTAGTACAGTCTCCTAGACTAGTACAGTCTCCTAGACTAGTACAGTCTTCTAGACTAGTACAGTCTCCTAGACTAGTACAGTCTTCTAGACTAGTACAGTCTCCTAGACTAGTACAGTCTCCTTGACTAGTACAGTCTCCTAGACTAGTACAGTCTTCTAGACTAGTACAGTCTCCTAGACTAGTACAGTCTTCTAGACTAGTACAGTCTCCTAGACTAGTACAGTCTCCTAGACTAGTACAGTCTCCTAGACTAGTACAGTCTCCTAGACTAGTACAGTCTCCTAGACTAGTACAGTCTCCTAGACTGGTACAGTCTCCTAGACTAGTACAGTCTCCTAGACTAGTACAGTCTTCTAGACTAGTACAGTCTCCTAGACTAGTACAGTCTCCTAGACTAGTAGAGTCTCCTAGACTAGTACAGTCTCCTAGACTAGTACAGTCTCCTAGACTAGTACAGTCTCCTAGACTAGTACAGTCTCCTAGACTAGTACAGTCTCCTAGACTAGTACAGTCTCCTAGACTAGTAGAGTCTCCTAGACTAGTATAGTCTCCTAGACTAGTACAGTCTCCTAGACTAGTACAGTCTCCTAGACTAGTACAGTCTCCTAGACTAGTACAGTCTCCTAGACTAGTACAGTCTTCTAGACTAGTATAGTCTTCTAGACTAGTACAGTCTCCTAGACTAGTACAGTCTCCTAGACTAGTACAGTCTCCTAGACTAGTACAGTCTCCTAGACTAGTACAGTCTCCTAGACTAGTACAGTCTCCTAGACTAGTACAGTCTTCTAGACTAGTACAGTCTCCTAGACTAGTACAGTCTCCTAGACTAGTACAGTCTCCTAGACTAGTACAGTCTCCTAGACTAGTACAGTCTCCTAGACTAGTACAGTCTCCTAGACTAGTTCAGTCTCCTAGACTAGTACAGTCTCCTAGACTAGTACAGTCTCCTAGACTAGTACAGTCTTCTAGACTAGTACAGTCTCCTAGACTAGTTCAGTCTCCTAGACTAGTACAGTCTTCTAGACTAGTACAGTCTCCTAGACTAGTACAGTCTCCTAGACTAGTACAGTCTCCTAGACTAGTACAGTCTCCTAGACTAGTACAGTCTCCTAGACTAGTACAGTCTCCTAGACTAGTACAGTCTCCTAGACTAGTACAGTCTCCTAGACTAGTACAGTCTCCTAGACTAGTACAGTCTCCTAGACTAGTACAGTCTCCTAGACTAGTACAGTCTTCTAGACTAGTACAGTCTCCTAGACTAGTACAGTCTTCTAGACTAGTACAGTCTCCTAGACTAGTACAGTCTCCTAGACTAGTACAGTCTCCTAGACTAGTACAGTCTTCTAGACTAGTACAGTCTCCTAGACTAGTACAGTCTTCTAGACTAGTACAGTCTCCTAGACTAGTTCAGTCTCCTAGACTAGTTCAGTCTCCTAGACTAGTACAGTCTCCTAGACTAGTACAGTCTCCTAGACTAGTACAGTCTCCTAGACTAGTACAGTCTCCTAGACTAGTACAGTCTTCTAGACTAGTACAGTCTCCTAGACTAGTACAGTCTCCTAGACTAGTACAGTCTCCTAGACTAGTACAGTCTTCTAGACTAGTACAGTCTCCTAGACTAGTACAGTCTTCTAGACTAGTACAGTCTCCTAGACTAGTTCAGTCTCCTAGACTAGTTCAGTCTCCTAGACTAGTACAGTCTCCTAGACTAGTACAGTCTCCTAGACTAGTACAGTCTCCTAGACTAGTACAGTCTCCTAGACTAGTACAGTCTCCTAGACTAGTAGAGTCTCCTAGACTAGTATAGTCTCCTAGACTAGTTCAGTCTCCTAGACTAGTACAGTCTCCTAGACTAGTACAGTCTCCTAGACTAGTACAGTCTCCTAGACTAGTACAGTCTCCTAGACTAGTACAGTCTCCTAGACTAGTATAGTCTCCTAGACTAGTTCAGTCTCCTAGACTAGTAGAGTCTCCTAGATTAGTATAGTCTCCTAGACTAGTTCAGTCTCCTAGACTAGTACAGTCTCCTAGACTAGTACAGTCTCCTAGACTAGTTCAGTCTCCTAGACTAGTACAGTCTCCTAGACTAGTACAGTCTCCTAGACTAGTACAGTCTCCTAGACTAGTACAGTCTCCTAGACTAGTTCAGTCTCCTAGACTAGTACAGTCTCCTAGACTAGTACAGTCTCCTAGACTAGTACAGTCTCCTAGACTAGTACAGTCTCCTAGACTAGTACAGTCTCCCAGACTAGTACAGTCTCCTAGACTAGTTCAGTCTCCTAGACTAGTAGAGTCTCCTAGATTAGTATAGTCTCCTAGACTAGTTCAGTCTCCTAGACTAGTACAGTCTCCTAGACTAGTACAGTCTCCTAGACTAGTACAGTCTCCTAGACTAGTTCAGTCTCCTAGACTAGTACAGTCTCCTAGACTAGTACAGTCTCCTAGACTAGTACAGTCTCCTAGACTAGTACAGTCTCCTAGACTAGTACAGTCTCCTAGACTAGTTCAGTCTCCTAGACTAGTAGAGTCTCCTAGATTAGTATAGTCTCCTAGACTAGTTCAGTCTCCTAGACTAGTACAGTCTCCTAGACTAGTACAGTCTCCTAGACTAGTTCAGTCTCCTAGACTAGTACAGTCTCCTAGACTAGTACAGTCTCCTAGACTAGTACAGTCTCCTAGACTAGTACAGTCTCCTAGACTAGTTCAGTCTCCTAGACTAGTACAGTCTCCTAGACTAGTACAGTCTCCTAGACTAGTACAGTCTCCTAGACTAGTACAGTCTCCTAGACTAGTACAGTCTCCTAGACTAGTACAGTCTCCTAGACTAGTTCAGTCTCCTAGACTAGTAGAGTCTCCTAGATTAGTATAGTCTCCTAGACTAGTACAGTCTCCTAGACTAGTACAGTCTCCTAGACTAGTACAGTCTCCTAGACTAGTACAGTCTCCTAGACTAGTACAGTCTCCTAGACTAGTACAGTCTCCTAGACTAGTACAGTCTCCTAGACTAGTTCAGTCTCCTAGACTAGTACAGTCTCCTAGACTAGTACAGTCTCCTAGACTAGTACAGTCTCCTAGACTAGTACGCGCAAGGTTGACAGGCCCGTCTTCCCCCCAGATGAAACAGATGAAACAAGATGAAACGAGATGAAACGAGATGAAACAAGATGAAACAAGATGAAACGCCAATGTACGGGCGCAGATGGGGCCGAGATGAAACGAAATGAAACAAAATGAAACAAGATGAAACAAGATGAAACAAGATGAAACCAAATGAAACTCGAAGTACGGGCGTAGATGGGCCGCGAATGAAACAAGATGAAACAAGATGAAACAAGATGAAACAATGTACGGGCGGAGATGGGCCGCGCGCAGTGCACCCGGCGTGACGTGCACGAGCGAAAAGAACTGAATTAATCCAATCATTGAAATAATTTTGTTTGCAGAGGCAATTCGCGCAAGGGAGATAGGAATTTGATGGCTTGCGAGTGACAGCACGAGCCGAATTTATTGCCCGTGGAAGTACCCACGATAGGAATACACTGTTGGGAACATGGTGGCGCCGCTGACGGTACCTATGTAAGTGGAATTACTTTATTGGAAGTACCCACGACGGGGAAAATAGTCTCTCTAGTATTGTCGGTGAATGGTGATGGTGGTGGTGGCGATGGCTACTTTCCTCTGCTCAGAGAGAACCCCTGCATGTCCTTCGTCGTGATGCGAAAGAGCAGTGGATGCAGGTAAAGGCCGTGTCAGAGAATTTCGCCTAGTGCTGTGGCCAGGGTGAAAATAAATTAGGGCTGAAACGATCATTCAATAACTCCAAGCGATCAACCAATCTCTTTAGCGATGAATATCATTGTAACATAGAAAAATGTGGGCACAAGTTATGCAATCGAGTCCACCAACTAAACCAGATTTCGAATAGTCAGACGTGCACAATCTAGCACAAAACTGACAAGGAGTATGAGTACTGAGACATTGAGATCAATTATAATTGTTGGTTCATAATTATAGATTCTTTCCGGCTGTAGTCGTGCACCTCGAACACAAGACTATGAAGAAATTCCATGATGCCTTTGCTACATTAGCTGTGGCCACCAGTCAAACACTCTAAATATACCCAGGCTACCGCTCAGTGTTTGGTATTCTGTAAACATTTCAGGCAATTGTGTCGACACCTGTAGACATCTGACTGGTCTAAAGCCTAGTTCACATTCGACTTAACACTGACGGTACAGGACGTAAGGGCCTGTCGGGACGGCTGGGGTGAGCTGTAAAACCTTTTACGATTCGTACGACACGACATGCTGAAGTCGTTGCGATGTTCTCCAGCGAACGGCGCGAGTCATAAGGCACAGTCCGTGACGGGGTGACTTTCGGACCTTATTTCTTGTTTTTCGGGACTTCTTTTCAATTATTTCACCTTGAATGAAGCGAAATCAAATTCACAATACCAGTTTTTCATGGAGACAAAAAAGTAGCCCTGAAAGTTGTGCCATTCGAATAGTAGCCCTAGGAAATGATAAAACAGTTCATCTGTCATTCTCCTAAACTATCCCTAAATACCATAAGTGACATGAGATCTTATCTTGCTAAAATTCAACTCAAGTCGTGTTAGCCATTCTGCGAGTTATCATGGGAAGCGCAGTGTTCGAAATCCTAAAAATTTCCCAGTACGAATCGGGAGTGGATGGCGCACGCCGCCGCCTCCTGTTCTCACTCAAAATGCAGCCGTTTTGTACGCTTGCGTCTCCGTCTATGCCCGTCTACGGTATGAAAAGTTGAACTGATCCAACACTTCCCGATCCGTACGGTAGTATGGTTGCGTTCCCGTTCCTGGTGTTCACATTGGACGCCGTCAGACCGTCCTGTCGCTTCCCATCGATCCTTACGCCGCGTCCCGTCGAATTTGAACTAGGCTTTATCAATATGAACTAGAGGAGTTCATGTTGTTGTTTCTAGAACGAAGAATCAGGCTTGTCGTCACCCTTTGGCTTGAAGCTCTTATCACCAACTTCCGCAACGAATCAATCGAAAAGATACCGTCTTGACTCCCGATCTCTTTCATAGCCACGCATCAATATTACTGCGCTTGAAAGTACCAATTGCACTCGTATCCACAATTGGATGGAGGGCAAGGGCTAGAATACTGCCACTGGTATGCATGCATAAAAAATCGTTTGCATTCGCTTTGAACCCTAACGATTATCGATTGCGCTCTTAAAACGATCGGTTTGCGAGTTATCTGTATACTTGTTTCAGCCCTAAATGCATTGCCCTCGTAGAGGACAGGGATGAGCAGTGATATGAGCAGGGATGTGAGTACTGATGTGCCTTTCGTCCTCATATTTTACAGAGAAGACGTCTGCCCCCAATAATAAAATTAATGTAGTAATGATAATGTGTTGCCCTTTCATCTTCTCAGGAGCCCTATGCCTTTGCCTCTTCTCCCCTGGACTGAATGGACTGGACGCTCTGTCCAGTAGTGTCCAGTAAATGATTTGTAGTGTAAGTTAGGGTGCACTCTCTCTTGAGGATTTGCCCACCTTGATGATTGTGCTCTTCGTGTTATTAGAAAATGTCTCTACCTGCCAGGATGGTATAAGAGCACGAACTGAATCACCTGTTGGTGCAGAAGGCTTGGAGGACTGCTTTTGAAACAGTTGTTCAAATTTCCTGCACCTCTTCGTAGCCGTTGTCTGATTGCTGCATTCTGGGGAGACTGAAGTTAAGGTTAGTGAAGCTGCACAGTCCCCGTGGAAATGTTTATGCTGCAACTATTTACTGCTGACATGTATTTATGTATTTCAGGAATCTCCAGAGGGTGAAGGCTTGCTGCAAGCTCCGTCCCTTCAATGTCGTGATACATCCGTAGATCAGTCGTGTGCCTGTCCTGTGCTTTTATGAGCATGCTCCTTTGCACATGCCTTTGTCCTGTGCATGCGTGGGCGTGGGCGCGCGCGTGTGTGTGTGTGTGTGTGTGTGTACGCCAACGACACCGTCCGTGCACATGTGCATGGACGTGAGTTTGTGCGTATGTGCGTTTGCCTTTGTTATATGCATACAGTATTATCAATTTATCATGCCTATACAAGCCTTGCCAGTGTCTCGATAGGAGAAGCAGATACATGATTACACCACTTGGGTTTTGACCTTCTTTGGCCGGGGCGAATGTCGAAGGAAAGACTCCCTCTGGGCCAAGGTGTTGGCGACAGTTGAGAGTTGTCCTCTATTTTGCAGCGGGGGACAGCATGGCATATTTGGTGCCGGAAAGAGTGCAGTTGCACTTTTCATGTTACTGTAAAATTTGCTAGGTCAATCCCTTGAAGCTGGAGACTGCTGATACTGCTGCTCAAACGGCTGCTGCTGTTACTCTCTGCTGCTACCATGGTCGTTGCTTTGTATCAATGGCGAAAATTCTCAGATGAGCTTTGGGTCCGGGCACTAGAATCCTGCTGCTGCCTCTGCAGCAGTTGTAGAAAGTTTTATAATACCAGTGTCGATGGTGAACTTCTGCTCTTTTTTTTATCCCAGACACTTTGTGCTCAAGAGACTGTTAGGTCTTTGTGGTGTTGTCGTTGCTGTTTGGTTATACATGTACTAGTTGGCGTCTGTTTGGAAATATATTGTGCTTTTCTGTGTGTTCATGTGAACGTAGAAGCCCTCACCGAAACCAACACTACGTTGCTGTGTTGTTTTCTTCTAAGGTCGGGCACAGTAAAGGAGACGACTCTGTGAGTATATTCGCAGATGAACTTTGGGTTAATAGAATGCAGGTGCTGCTGCTCTTGTGCCGGGCTGTTGGTGTCAATGATGGGGTGGATCATGCTTTCTCTTTATATACCTTTTGTATATTTGTGTGTAATTAGGAGCACATACCAACACGTAATCTTTCTAAAGCCTAGTTCTCTTTCGACGCAACGCTGACGGTACGGGACGTAAGGGCCTGTGACGGCTGGGGTGAGCTGTAAAATCTTGTACAATTCGTACGACACGACATGCTCCAGTCTTTGCGATGTTCAACAGCGAATGGTGCGAGTCATAAGGCACAGTCCGTGACGGGGTGACCGTCCCGGCGTTTCCCGTCGATCCTTATGTCGCGTCCCGTTGCGCCCCGTCGAATGTGAACTGGGCTTAACAATGGCATGGAGACAGTTTCAATTGCAGTTTAATGTTACTGCACTGCACTGCAGGTATCAAGGCACTACCCAGAGGGAGGATGTTGGCCTTCTCCTGATGGGAAAATGTCTTCTTTCTCATGGCGTGGCCAGGACTGCACTGACCCTACCATCCACTCTACCTCTCCGGAAAGGGACTTGACAACCAGTCAAGATGGATGTGCAGAGATATACCAGCGGTAAGTAACATGCTTAGGATATCCACTTGATGAAGGAAGGACAGGTGCTCAACTACTACACCAAAATGTGAGCATAAGGAGATGGGCTGATGGGTCATGGATGGGTGACAGGTCTTTGCCCGGTTGCTGGAGTATACCAACCTGGGTCTTGGATTGGTTTAGAAGCGGCCTGTTCTATTCGGGGTGCCATCCTCAATTAGACGGGCAGTGAAGATCTTGCAGGATCAATCGCACATGTAGAATATGGACATGTGGATGCGGGCAGCAGATCTGTAATTTCCAGTACAGTTGAACATCGATTATCCGACCACCTCTGGGCAGACAACTGTCAGGCGGTGTTCAGATAAGGCAAATGTTCCGGATAAGAAAACACACTGTAAATACATGTACATGTACATTGTAAATAGAATAGAGTGCTACTTTTCAAAATTTTCGTATTTTTTGAATGGCTCACTACATGCACAGTGCGTACTCTACGGCACGTGCGCCCAAAAAAACTGTTACGGATAATCGAATGGTCGGATAGTCGATGTGCGGATAATCGATGTTCAACTGTATCAAAGTTCAGTTGTATTTGCTTTTCTATATTTTCTACATGTGATGTTGTTTACTGCAGCTTCTAGCATTAACTGCCAGTTTGCACTGACGCAGCAAGACTCCCCAACAGTCAAGTATGTTTCATTGCATGCACTAGGATTACAGTAGAATGCCGATTATCCGAATGTCAACTGTCCAAACGGTCAATTATCCGAAATTCCTGTTTGCACTGAATTAAATTCAATAAGTCGACTTATACCGGTAAAATATGGTAACCGCGGGACTGCAGGGTGTGGCATTTCCATGATACAGTGGAAAATTTCACGATTTTTGGTGCAAACATAGCTCAGACGCTGCTCGATTGGATATACAATGCAGGTTCTTGGAACCACGGACACGACTCTTCGATTCAAGGCTCACAACACTTCGGGATCTGAACGTTTTAGGTCCGGGAGCTGTTCGCGGTTTTGTCGCTTGTCACGGTTGTAGACTCATCGTTGTAGCATAAATAAGGCTGGACTATTCCAAGCGGAAAACTAAAATATTTCTTTCTCAAAGCACAATCACCGGCCCGGAGGAGCACACCTTCTCTAACTACATACCGGGTGCAGTACATGACACGTCCGTGTATTGACTAGTCTCTTGTACATTTAGATCTACCACACGACTCACGTAGCGCTAGCACAGCAGTGCGGGTGTAGTCATGTACTACTACTACCGCCGGGCGCCGAAGAACGGACCGCCGATGAACGGCCAGGCTATAATTTCGCCATTTTTTAAGAACGGTCTAGGTAGAAACGTAATGTACAATATGAATATGATGTACACTCAGATGCATAAATGTGCATGTAAGACTGTACCATCGAATAAGAACGAAACTGCTGTGTTCGCTAAAAATGAGAACGGGCTAGGCTAGAACCCTGACCCCGTTCTTCGGCGCCCGGCAGTACTGTAGTGTAGTGTTCCGTATGTTTGTTGACTATGGCATGCACGCAGAAGCCAGCGGATGTAAAAAGTCCAAATCGGAAACGGCTAAAACGGGATATCCTCAAATTTTGCCGAGCTGAAAATCACAGGGTACGTAGGGCTTGTAACAGTGAGTCGAATGCTCTTGGTCCGGAGAAGCTGCAACAGATGGTTCTCAAATCGAACGCGTTTTGAATATTGGCCATTTTGCACACAAATAGATGGTGTGGCTACCTGGCTGCACACTGTGACCTTATCACCTGGATCAGGTAGACTGCGTGCTCGCGTTCGCTCATGTTCGATTTGGCGTATCTGACGAACCATGGACCGCAGCCTCCTTGGAAAAGAACATTCAACTCAGCGCCCCAAATCTACGGGTCCTGAAATTAAAAAAATTCAGCAGACTTCCCCTTTAATATTTAAGGCAGAACTTATTACAGTCCTTGATTAGAAGTTGACATATTCTTGTACGAATCCGGTGGCAGCCACAACAATGTCTTTTGTGAAAATGTATGCAAGCCTTTTAAAAAGCATCTCCCACCAGGCATTCGATCGAATTTTTCATAGCGTGGAGATTTGTTACGGCGTGAACTGATGCTTGGCGTATAGAATTTGCTTTTCGATGTGTTCTTTGGAAGATGCAGTCTTAAAAATGGTGTGGATGTCTTTGTTTCTGTCCTTCTGCTGTCCTCGTAGAAAGAATAATATAGACGTGCAGAAAATGTAGGAGAGCGATGACATCAGAAGGACACTCTCAGGTTCAGGGTACCTGTACTGCCCCAATAAAGTGGGTCAGATCCCAAAACGAGGTTGGCCGAAGCAAAAAAATAGAAGAGCCTGCCTTGAATCGAATATGAGGAAGAAGAAGAAGAAGACAAAGAAAGAGAAAGAGTAGGAATTTGTTTGTGTAAACTTTGTTTCCTCTGTCTAGGCCATCGCATTATAGCAGCCAACAGTGTGTGTGTGTGTGTGTGTGTGTGTGTGTGTGTGTGTGTGTGTGTGTGTGTGTGTGTGTGTGTGTGCGCGTATGTGTGTGTGTGTGTTTGCGTTTGTGTGCACACGCTTGTGTGTGCGTATGTGTTTGCATGTGCGTATATTCTGCTCATCTTGACTTAAATTTCCACATCTGGGCATATTGTGTTCTGTATGTGAATTTATCTTCATTAACTTGTGCGCTACGTTCCTTTCTTCACGTTACGGCACTTTAGTATTGTTTTACTTGAACATCATACTCTCGCCCAACTTTGTTTCACCAACAAAGGTTTATTTTCTAATTGATTGTGTATGAGTTTCATACCACTGTCAGGGGCGTCGGAAGGTATTTTAGTGTGGTACGGTCAGCCATCTGAAGTACAATTGACTCGTGGGGGAGTGGTGGCTGAGCCGAAAATTTTGGAATTTTAGATCCCAGATCAGTGTATTTTGTTGATTCACGGGGTATCTGGGGCAAAAAGTGGTACGGTCAATACTGTAGTGACCGTACCGTGTGCGACGCCCCTGACTGTTGGAATCCACCAGCTGTGTTTCCTTGAGGGGCGTATCCTTACCTGGGATGTGTTTTCTCATTCCCGGCAGCAACAATATGTATATAATTTAAGAATAGAATTAGATGTACAGGAGAGTGCCGATTATCCCCACCCCTCGGGACGCGGGCTGTCTCCAGAGGGTTCAGATGAGAAGAATGTTCGGATAAGAGAGTAGTCACACATCAATCCAAATCATGCATATTCCAGCATGTTTTCATCATTTTCATTCTCTTCAGCAGTGCAATAGGAACTAGGTGCACTCAAGCTCCTCTAAATTAATGACACTATTATTACACATTTTGACTCAAACCTGTTGTAATACATCTTGTGAATCGCTTCAATGGTGCCCTGAGCGACGAAAATCAACAACTTGAAACTCATCTTCTACCCCTCAATTAAATGCAAGCAATTATTTTGGATAATTAATCATTTGGATAGTTGATATTAGGATAATCGGCACATTGTGTGTGATGGGGGGGGGGGGGGAGAGGAAGAGGAGGAGGCTGCGAGAGGCCGTGGTGGACGTGTACTTGTGCAGAGCCTGGAAAAAGCCTCACTTTAGATGTATGCACATTCAAACGGTGGATGCTTCCCGCCATCCTTTTCCCCCTCTTTTTCCTTTTCCCGCCATTCTTTACCCCCTCTTTTTCAATTTCCCGCTCTTCTTTTCCCCCTCTTTTTCCCCCTTTTTCTCCCCTTTTCCCCCTTTTCTGCGAGAAGATTAGCCCCCTCCTTGCGCAACTAGACTGGTACAGTCTCCTAGACTAGTACAGTCTCCTAGACTAGTACAGTCTCCTAGACTAGTACAGTCTCCTAGACTAGTACAGTCCCCTAGACTAGTACAGTCTCCTAGACTAGTACAGTCTTCTAGACTAGTACAGTCTCCTAGACTAGTACAGTCTCCTAGACTAGTACAGTCTCCTAGACTAGTATAGTCTCCTAGACTAGTACAGTCTCCTAGACTAGTACAGTCTCCTAGACTAGTACAGTCTCCTAGACTAGTACAGTCTCCTAGACTAGTACAGTCTTCTAGACTAGTACAGTCTCCTAGACTAGTACAGTCTCCTAGACTAGTACAGTCTCCTAGACTAGTACAGTCCCCTAGACTAGTACAGTCTCCTAGACTAGTACAGTCTCCTAGACTAGTACAGTCTCCTAAACTAGTACAGTCTCCTAGACTAGTACAGTCTCCTAGACTAGTACAGTCTCCTAGACTAGTACAGTCTCCTAGACTAGTACAGTCTCCTAGACTAGTACAGTCTCCTAGACTAGTACAGTCTCCTAGACTAGTACAGTCTCCTAGACTAGTACAGTCTCCTAGACTAGTACAGTCTTCTAGAGTACTAGTACAGTCTCCTAGACTAGTACAGTCTCCTAGACTAGTACAGTCTCCTAGACTAGTACAGTCTTCTAGACTAGTACAGTCTCCTAGACTAGTACAGTCTCCTAGACTAGTACAGTCTCCTAGACTAGTACAGTCTCCTAGACTAGTACAGTCTCCTAGACTAGTAGTACAGTCTCCTAGACTAGTACAGTCTCCTAGACTAGTACAGTCTCCTAGACTAGTACAGTCTCCTAGACTAGTACAGTCTCCTAAACTAGTACAGTCTCCTAGACTAGTACAGTCTCCTAGACTAGTACAGTCTCCTAGACTAGTACAGTCTCCTAGACTAGTACAGTCTCCTAGACTAGTACAGTCTCCTAGACTAGTACAGTCTCCTAAACTAGTACAGTCTCCTAGACTAGTACAGTCTCCTAGACTAGTACAGTCTCCTAGACTAGTACAGTCTCCTAGACTAGTACAGTCTCCTAGACTAGTACAGTCTCCTAGACTAGTACAGTCTCCTAGACTAGTACAGTCTTCTAGAGTACTAGTACAGTCTCCTAGACTAGTACAGTCTCCTAGACTAGTACAGTCTTCTAGACTAGTACAGTCTCCTAGACTAGTACAGTCTCCTAGACTAGTACAGTCTCCTAGACTAGTACAGTCTCCTAGACTAGTACAGTCTCCTAGACTAGTACAGTCTCCTAGACTAGTACAGTCTCCTAGACTAGTACAGTCTCCTAGACTAGTACAGTCTTCTAGACTAGTATAGTCTCCTAGACTAGTACAGTCTCCTAGACTAGTATAGTCTCCTAGACTAGTACAGTCTCCTAGACTAGTACAGTCTCCTAAACTAGTACAGTCTCCTAGACTAGTACAGTCTCCTAGACTAGTATAGTCTCCTAGACTAGTACAGTCTCCTAGACTAGTACAGTCTCCTAGACTAGTACAGTCTCCTAGACTAGTACAGTCTTCTAGACTAGTATAGTCTCCTAGACTAGTACAGTCTCCTAGACTAGTATAGTCTCCTAGACTAGTACAGTCTCCTAGACTAGTACAGTCTCCTAGACTAGTACAGTCTCCTAGACTAGTACAGTCTCCTAGACTAGTACAGTCTCCTAGACTAGTACAGTCTCCTAGACTAGTACAGTCTCCTAGACTAGTACAGTCTCCTAGACTAGTACAGTCTTCTAGACTAGTACAGTCTCCTAGACTAGTACAGTCTCCTAGACTAGTACAGTCTGCTAGACTAGTACAGTCTCCTAGACTAGTACAGTCTCCTAGACTAGTACAGTCTTCTAGACTAGTACAGTCTCCTAGACTAGTTCAGTCTCCTAGACTAGTACAGTCTCCTAGACTAGTACAGTCTCCTAGACTAGTACAGTCTTCTAGACTAGTACAGTCTCCTAGACTAGTACAGTCTCCTAGACTAGTACAGTCTCCTAGACTAGTACAGTCTCCTAGACTAGTACAGTCTTCTAGAGTACTAGTACAGTCTCCTAGACTAGTACAGTCTCCTAGACTAGTACAGTCTCCTAGACTAGTACAGTCTCCTAGACTAGTACAGTCTCCTAGACTAGTACAGTCTCCTAGACTAGTTCAGTCTCCTAGACTAGTACAGTCTCCTAGACTAGTACAGTCTCCTAGACTAGTACAGTCTTCTAGACTAGTACAGTCTCCTAGACTAGTACAGTCTCCTAGACTAGTACAGTCTCCTAGACTAGTACAGTCTCCTAGACTAGTACAGTCTCCTAGACTAGTACAGTCTCCTAGACTAGTACAGTCTCCTAGACTAGTACAGTCTCCTAGACTAGTACAGTCTCCTAGACTAGTACAGTCTCCTAGACTAGTACAGTCTTCTAGACTAGTACAGTCTCCTAGACTAGTACAGTCTCCTAGACTAGTTCAGTCTCCTAGACTAGTACAGTCTCCTAGACTAGTACAGTCTCCTAGACTAGTACAGTCTCCTAGACTAGTACAGTCTCCTAGACTAGTACAGTCTCCTAGACTAGTACAGTCTCCTAGACTAGTACAGTCTCCTAGACTAGTACAGTCTTCTAGACTAGTACAGTCTCCTAGACTAGTACAGTCTCCTAGACTAGTTCAGTCTCCTAGACTAGTACAGTCTCCTAGACTAGTACAGTCTCCTAGACTAGTACAGTCTCCTAGACTAGTACAGTCTCCTAGACTAGTACAGTCTCCTAGACTAGTACAGTCTCCTAGACTAGTACAGTCTCCTAGACTAGTACAGTCTCCTAGACTAGTACAGTCTCCTAGACTAGTACAGTCTCCTAGACTAGTAGAGTCTCCTAGACTAGTACAGTCTCCTAGACTAGTACAGTCTCCTAGACTAGTTCAGTCTCCTAGACTAGTACAGTCTCCTAGACTAGTACAGTCTCCTAGACTAGTACAGTCTCCTAGACTAGTATAGTCTCCTAGACTAGTACAGTCTCCTAGACTAGTACAGTCTCCTAGACTAGTACAGTCTCCTAGACTAGTTCAGTCTCCTAGACTAGTACAGTCTCCTAGACTAGTACAGTCTTCTAGACTGGTACAGTCTCCTAGACTAGTACAGTCTTCTAGACTAGTACAGTCTCCTAGACTAGTTCAGTCTCCTAGACTAGTACAGTCTCCTAGACTAGTACAGTCTCCTAGACTAGTACAGTCTCCTAGACTAGTACAGTCTCCTAGACTAGTTCAGTCTCCTAGACTAGTACAGTCTCCTAGACTAGTACAGTCTCCTAGACTAGTACAGTCTCCTAGACTAGTACAGTCTCCTAGACTAGTACAGTCTCCTAGACTAGTTCAGTCTCCTAGACTAGTACAGTCTCCTAGACTAGTACAGTCTCCTAGACTAGTACAGTCTCCTAGACTAGTACAGTCTCCTAGACTAGTACAGTCTCCTAGACTAGTACAGTCTCCTAGACTAGTACAGTCTCCTAGACTAGTACAGTCTCCTAGACTAGTACAGTCTCCTAGACTAGTACAGTCTCCTAGACTAGTACAGTCTCCTAGACTAGTACAGTCTCCTAGACTAGTACAGTCTCCTAGACTAGTACAGTCTCCTAGACTAGTACAGTCTCCTAGACTAGTACAGTCTCCTAGACTGTGTAGTACGGTACGTAGTTCAGGTCAAGTCTGACTACAGTCAACTTCGCTAATAACGACTGCGGATATAACGACAATTCGCGAATAACGACAGCATTTCGATGCCCAGAGCAAAGTCCCTTCCAACTGTAATACATATAATGAGACTTCGGGTATAACGACACTTCGCGAATAAGGACACTTTTTTGATGCCCCGCCGAGTGTCGTTATAAGCGAAGTTGACTGTACACTGGAAAACAATAGAACACAGTACTTCGAGTCCTGGTGGTCACAGTCAATTTTTTTAGTCCTGGTGGTCACAGTCAATGTTTTTAGTCCAGGTGGTCACAGTCAATGTTTTTAGTCCAGGTGGTCACAGTCAATGTTTTTAGTCCTGGTGGTCACAGTCAATGTTTTTAGTCCTGGTGGTCACAGTCAATGTTTTTAGTCCAGGTGGTCACAGTCAATGTTTTTAGTCCTGGTGGTCACAGTCAATGTTTTTAGTCCTGGTGGTCACAGTCAATGTTTTTAGTCCTGGTGGTCACAGTCAATGTTTTTAGTCCTGGTGGTCACAGTCAATGTTTTTAGTCCTGGTGGTCACAGTCAATGTTTTTAGTCCTGGTGGTCACAGTCAATGTTTTTAGTCCTGGTGGTCACAGTCAATGTTTTTAGTCCTGGTGGTCACAGTCAATGTTTTTAGTCCTGGTCGTCACAGTGAATGCTTTTAGTCCTGGTGGTCACAGTCAATGTTTTTAGTCCTGGTGGTCACAGTCAATGTTTTTAGTCCTGGTCGTCACAGTCAATGCTTTTAGTCCTGGTGGTCACAGTCAATGTTTTTAGTCCTGGTGGTCACAGTCAGTGTTTTTCTTCAGACTTTTCTCGTTTGTGTATTTCCCTCAAACCAGTGAGTAGAGTATAAGTAGTATTGGGAAACATACAGTATCGTACTTTCAGCAGATGGATCTTTTTTGTACTTTCGAGTGAGGATGGCTTTTGCGAGCTCCCGTTGTGAGCAGGTTTTCGTGCAGTGTCTGCTTGCTGTATCCTAGTACTATACGGCCAAAGTCACGGCAGTCATGAGGGGGAGGACAATGATGTGGGTGCAACAGCACAACTGCATCGGCTGTGCTTGCGTGAAAGGCGGGCATCAGTGTTGTCATTGTTCCCCTGCCCAGTCCACTCCATAGGGGTCAGCGGATAATGCTACGAAGCCGTTTGTATAATGCTACAAAAACGTTTGTATAATGCTAGGAAAACGTTTGTATAATGCTAACCATAATGTTTCCAAAAATACCTTATACTGATGATTGCTTCAGAAAGGG